TAAGGGGTAAATAGCTGGACAGAACGGGTTCTATAACCATAGATGGCAACTGGTCTACCTCAGAAAAAAATGTCAACCTACCGCGGGGAAAGTATCTGCATCGTCAGTCATGTATAGAAAGATACATGATCGCCTAAGCGTGTATCACGCATGACACATGACTTGCTGACTGATTTAATATCACGGATCTTGGTGATAACAAGCAGATACACTCGTTATAGTTATGGACAAAATTAAAGATTTTAATAGATAAAACAAGTAACATACTTCTAAAGTTGGCAAACACTTAAAAGGAGTTAAATTTACATAAAAGTTACATTATTTGACAAAAAGCTAAGAATCAAAAATATATGTATATGACTTAAATGTTAACTTTTGTATTTACACATGCTCTAACACAGATATCGAGCACATTTACCCGTAAATATAGCGTAACATAAAACAACATTTTTACCATATATATACACACCCATTCTCTGACTAATCTTAATTGTTTTATAACAAGAAGAATTCTCTCAGTTCAAGAAAGATATTTGTGTCACTAAAACAAAAAGAGAATTTTAACATCGAGAATGTTTAACATCGAAAAAAAAGGAAAATTAATTCCTTTTAATAATAAGTAGAAATATCGACTCTTTGCCTGAAGAAGGTCGCGAGACCTGAAGCCCGTGTTTCAAAATTATGTAAAATGAAGCATAATATATATATTTAAAAAAGTTCACATTAGAACCAAAAAGGTTTTCGGTTTATCTCTTCTTTAAATATATATATATATATATATATATATATATATATATATATATATTGACATCCACCGACACATATATATCTCACTAGTGTTGTTAGACGTCCGGTTGCCCTCAACAAGGTTGAAACCAGGCTGAAACATCGGAGAATATTTTCCGTTGGAGCACGATGAAGGTGAATTTTTGAACTCGATTCGTTTTATCGAAGAGTCTTGCATTAGTAAAATCATAGTTTAGAAACTCACATTTCTCCCCAGAGAAGTCAACCAAAATGTTCCTTCAAGAGCATATATATTGTCATCCACAGGCAGAGTGTTTCGCTGCATCACAGCTCATCAGTGTATTTTACTTTAACATATAAAAAGAAAATTATAACTTTATAAAATTTCACTTGATTGATTTGAACACGAAGGCTAGCGTCTCGACAGACGCTCCAAAACATATATATTCAACTGTCAATAAATATAATTTAAAAAAAATATGTTTCAGAAAGTTTGCCTTTGTGTCATAACTGAAGATGACAAAAAGTACTTATCAGAATGTTTAACTCTGAATATGAGGAATTCAAGGAATTGATAATAATTTAATGTCTCATAAATTTCTTTTAGCGAAATGACTTCGCCATTAATCACATTAACATTGCTATTTAATTCTTTTATGGGTCTTTTAATAACTTATAAATTCTCATTTTTTGTTGTTTTTTTTTTCATTTGTAAGTCATTAAACGAAGAAAGCATATTATAAGTTTTCCTAAAAAGAATGATCAATTAAATCAACAGAATGAACTAACTTTAATATGTAGTCATTGTATACATTTTAATTTTTTCGTAAAATTACATTTATATACCAATATATTATTATATGTAATGGTGCATATAATATTTATGGAATTCCTTGTTTTTAAATTTTAATATTGCTATGGCCTCTGGCCCATTGAATATTTAGGATCAAAATAATATAATGTATTTTAAAATGGTTTAATTATGTTAGTAGACTCCTTTAAGTTAGTTCTATAGAATATACAAAGAAATTTTTTAAAAATACTAAAATAAACCATACCGTGCAAATATATAGAAAAATAAGAAAGAACACGTTAAGTAAATAGACAAAATTTCTTTAGTATTTTTGTTTTAATTTTTAAAAAAATTTATCATATTTAAAAAATACAAAATAAATATAATTATAAATATATATATATATATATATATTATATATATATATATATATATATATGTATATATATATATATATATATATATATATATATATATATATATATATATATATATGATTCATATCAATCTTAAAATTATATTTCTTAAAATTATACATCCAAATACAATTGTGATTGTTAGACGTCTGAGTGTTGATTTTGCATTTTTATAACTATATTTATATGTATGTATGTGTGTGTGTCTGTGTGCTCGCTCGTGTGTAGGCTCATTTTCATGAAATGTCCAGGGCTGAAATCTTTTTGAGCAAAGTCAGCATATTTGCATGTGTTTTATGCTGCATCTACACTGAGCGAACATTCATTACAATCTCTGGGAGAGGCACAATTATAATCTGTCATGAACAACAGATTTTAAAACGCCAGTACGTTCAGATATTCGGTCACGATGACTTGTGATTTCGTGCTAACTTAATCATCGTCCTCTTCCGGCTATTCAATTTCACTCACAAGGCTTGGGTCTACACACGTTTGATCGCTTTCCTGGGCCGATTCATTTCCCAACTAGATTAAACTACTGGTCAAGTGCTCAGAGAGTGTGTGCGTGAGTGAACGAGTATATGTACTTAGGTTTCTGTATGTTTTTGCGCGTTCGTAAACTGGGATGAATTATCGTATTTGTAAACGACTCCCTAAGAGCGGAGAAAATTCCATGGAAACAAACAAATAATATAACTCCACATGTATGACGATTTTGAAAAGGTCTTATCAGATAAACGACATGTTTGACATTTATCCGATAATAGTTCAATTAAATTGTATATCAGCAGTACAACAGAACACAAACAGAAATCCGACAAATCCTGAGCAATATCTGAAAAATACTCTATCATATGAACTGTAGCAGAAGAATTAAGGAATCACGTCAAAAAATCAATCTAAAGTCTCCATATATAGAAATAAAAAGATTAAACACACACACACACACACACACACACACACACACACACACAGACACACACACACATACAGAAAACATAAAAACACACAAATATATACGATTCTCGTCGAGCCGAGACATGTTTTTAATACAGGACATTAATGTACATATGTACATAAGTCAAAAATGTTTTAATATTTTGTTGCGTAAACTTTGCTCTAATAACGGCCTTAATTCTTAGCTGCATGCTATAGACTAAATTCTTTAGCAAGTCAAAGTACTACGCCATATTTTTCCTGCTAAATATACGAATAGTCCTCTATTCATCATCATTTATAAGGAAAAAAACACATGCCTGATGATGAATAGAGGACTATTCGTAAGTACTAGCATTTTAACATCAAATAAACTGAAAACTACAGACATCAAGTTTATCGACGAGGATCACTTCGCACTATGGTTTAACAGTATTTTAATGCATATATTATGTTTCTAGCGATGGATGTCGCCAATAATCGCATTAATACTTCTGATTGATTCTATGTGATTATTTTTTTTTATATATATATATATATATATATATATATATATATATATGGTGAGAGAGAGAGACTGGGAGAGAGAGAGAGAGAGAGGGAGAGAAAGAGAGTGACAGAGACTTTTTCGCTGCATTAATAGCGGTATGAGCCAATGTTGTTAAAATTAGGCTTTTCTCTATAGAGCTCAACAGGATTTTCCGGGAGCAGATATACTGCCATCCGCAGACAGACTGCTTCGCTGTATCACAGCTCTTCAATGTGGCTAGACGTCCGACTGCTTCCGGCCGAGTTCGAAACCCGAGAGATTTCGTATCAATTAGAGATTCCACCCCCAGGGCTATCGTTGCATAGCAGAGAGGAAGGGAAAGGTCAACTTTTTCTCTGCGAAATGCATAAGCGACCCGGAGAGCTCTATTCAATTTGGTTGAAGAATATTGGGTTAATAGCGGCATGAGCTACTATTTTTGAAATTACCCTTTACTCAAGAGAGCTCAACCTGATTTTCCGGGATCACATATCTATATATCTATCTATCTATCTATCCATCTATCTATCTATATATATATATATATATATATATATATATGTAGGAAGTCAAAATATGATTTAGTATATTGTTGGGTAACCTTTTGCTTTAATAACTCCCAACTCTTCCTGTGGCCTACTCAGTTTCCTAACCTTAACCCAATTGAAAACATTTGGGTGATAATGGACAAGCGTGCTCGTAATAGGAAAGTTAACACAGAAGATTTGCTTTTTCGCGAATTAAAGAAGAGCTGGAAAAATATGGCGTAGTACGTTGACTTAGTAAAGAATTTAGTCTATAGCATGCAACGAAGAATTAAGGCCGTTATTAGAGCAAAGTTTACGCAACAAAATTTTAAATCAATATCAAAACGAATTCTATAACTCACTCGTCTCGGTACAAAACAAAAAAATCGACTTTCTATGAGTGCGTCCATTTTTTCGGCATCGTATTGCATATTTGTGTGTTTTTATGTTTCCAGCTTGAAAACATTCCTCAGGCAATGATAGCTCGTTGTTGACCTCAGTGTTTAGTTTGTTATTACATACGCAATATTTCTGATATTACGCAATTTTACCCATTGATATAACATACATTAAAGTTCGTAGTATAATAAACTCTTTCGTATATAAGATTGCACAATATTAAATATTTTAATACGCACAAAATATTTACCCATTCTCTGCTTGTTCATGATAAGAAGTGTTCAAAATTCACACCTTGTTCATGTACACTAATTTTAAAAATGGGCGTTTGTTTAACATGAACGCACCGATATATATCCTTTTTTTTCGGAATGAATGTTTCAGCTTGCTTACATTTTGATATTTCATTCAATGATTCTATGATATTCAGTACCTCCTTTCTTCATCGACTGCAGTTGTTTCCATTTGTTTCTTTATCTTTTAGTAAAGTGGCTCTTAGAGAGTGAACTGAGTAAACAGCATAAAAAAAATGTATGTACGAATCATATAGATAGATTGGCTTGATAAAGAAGACAAAAAGCTTCAGTTGAGATAAGTGTTCATTTAGTCTTTTTTCAGAGTGTCATTTTGTAGATATACTCTATCTGAAATGTTTACATAGATAGATAGATAGATAGATAGATAGATAGATAGATAGATATGAATAGGCTGATATAGAGAAATTTATAGATAGATAAGAACAGGCTGATATATATATATATATATATATATATATATATAGATAGATAGATAGATAGATAGTGAGAAAGAGAGAAAGAGAGTGAGAGATGGATATAAATAGGCTGAGAGCGATATGAACAGGCTGATATATATATATATATATATATATATATATATATATATATATATATATATATATATATATATATATATAGACAAAGAGAGAGAGAGATGGATATAAACAGGCTGAGATAGATAGAGTTAGAAAATATGAACATGTTGATGTATATATATATATATAGAGAGAGAGGGAGACAGAGAGATAGGGAGACAGAGATGGATTTAAACAGGCTGAGATAGATATGAACAGGCTTATATATATATATAGATATAGATAGATAGATAGATAGATATGAACAGGCTTATATATATATATATATATATATATATATATATATATATATATATATATAGAGAGAGAGAGAGAGAGAGGAGAGAGGGAGGGGAGAGGGAGAGAGATAGGTATCTGCATTATTTTATTTGATTCCATACATATCTATGTAGTTATTATATATAAAATATGCAGTAATTTTTGTGCTTCATAGCTCTAAACATTACCATAAACTAGTATGTTTTATCTAGCATGGATATAACATTAACGAATTAGGCTGCACGGCGAACGTGTTTACCTGCACGCTGAGTATTTACTTTTCTTAACCTGTCAGATGTCCCAATTAATATGACATTCGGTGTAAATGAAGCTTGCCAAGTAGGCTGAAGCTCTAATAGACCTACTTGCTATCTACAGCAGGCGCCTTTTTTAAGCGTGTATCTGCGTATACACTGCCGTGTATATTTCTTTAAGTCTCCGAGGCACACGCACACACTTTCTTGTCGATATGAGTTTCCCTACGTGCGTATTTTATAATTTATTGTGTGTTCATGTTTTCGAGGTTCTATTTGTGTGTGTGTGTGTGTGTGTGTGTGCGTGCGTGTATGCATGTTGATAACCTTGCATGTGTCTGTTTATACAATGTCCATTTAATGAGGCTCTTTAGACGGCGAAATCCGATCTGTTCGCGCGGCTTAATATCGATTAGACGCTAGAGGAGTTAAGAAGTGCAATTTTCAGAATAAAACTGTCAATGCAAACGTCAAGGAGAAGTGGGGACAAAAGTAGCAGCGTAGGACAGATAACTGGGTGGCAGAAGGGCGTGGTATTAGGAAGACAGGACTGGAGAGAATCTGCTAATAAAACGGTGCTGGGTGGGAGAAAACAGAGAGAAATAAATAAAAAAATGTATTAAAGTGTAGAAAATGGATAGAAAGGGAAAAGCTGAAGCAGATAAAAAAAGGGAATCAGAAGAAAAAGAAGGATGGAAAAGGGGAAAATTGGAGAAAGAGAAGAAAAAGGAATGTAAAAGAAAAAAAGAAGAAAAATGAAGTGAATGGAAGAAAAATAGAAAAACTTGGAAAATAAAGAAAAGAGGGAAATTCAGATGAAAAAGGATAAAAACAGAAAAAAGAGGAAAGTGAAGAAAAGAAGGAATGAAGAAGAAAAAAGAAGAAAAAGAAAGCGAAGGGAAGACAAACAGAAATTCATGGAAATTAAAGAAAATAAGACAAAAATAAAGAAGAAAATGGAAAAAGCAGAAAAAAAGAGGAAAGTGAAGAAAAAAAGAAGAAAAAGGAAGCGAAGATTTAAGAAAAGTAGAAATACTTGAAAAGTAAAGAAAAAGAAGTCAGAAATACAGACGAAAAAGTGTAAAAGGAGAAAAAAGAGGAAAGTGAAGAAAAAAAGGAATGTAAAATAAAAAAAAATGAAAAAGAAAGCGAATGGAAGAAAAACAAAAATAAAATACTTGGAAAGTAAAGAAAACGAAGATAGAAATACAGAAGTTAATGGATAAAAGCAGAAAAATGAAATTAAGGAAAAGAAGGAAAGAAGATGTGATCAAAGAAGATATATGGAAAAAAGTAACGTAAAAATAAAAGAAGAGTATAGAATAAAAATAGAAAGACTGAATATGTAGAAGAAATAAAAGAAGAAAAATGACGAGAAAAAAAGAAAATAAGATGCAGAAAAATTAATGAAAAGAATAGAATATATACATAATAAAATTAAGAAACTTGAAAAAGACGTGGAATGATGGGCAGAGCATATAAAGAAAGACAATCGAATTAACAAAAATAAAAGTAAAAAGAAAATATGCAAAAAAAGGTAAGTAAATTGATAATGAGAGCGAATTAAAGAGGAAGAGAAAAGAAGAATTAGAACGAAAAATAAGTACCAAATTTAAAAGAAAAAATAGAATAATAATTTTATTTTCAGAAAGACAAGGAAAACACTGAAGAAACCGCGGACAAAAATACGGAATAAAGAAAATAAATTCAAGAATAAAAAAAAATATGAAGAAAAATACAGAAGAACAACCAGAAATAAATAAACAACATGAGCGACAAACAAAATGTCCAAGAAATATAGGAAAAAAATATTTGAAAAATAAAATAATAACATCGGAATTTCGAAAGAAGGAAACATAAAGAAAAAAAAAAGATTAACAACAAAGGAAGAAGAGAAATGAATTGTGGGTGTAAAGGAAGCAATGGCGTGTCACATGGAAAAGAAAAGTAGGTGAAAAACCAAGAGAGGCAAGAAATCTCTAATTCGAATCGTGTTAAGAGGATTATAGACCCAGGGCAGTCAAGAGAAATACGATTATATTGATCGAGCTACAAAAATACATTATCTATCTATCTATCTATCAATCTATCTATCTACACACACACACATATATATATATATATGTGTGTGTGTGTGTGTGTGTGTGTGTCGTTGGAAAAAGGAAAATGCTTCTAGTTCCCTTATAGTTTTCTTTTATATGAAGAGTAAAAATGTGAGAAAACTCTCAGTAGTCTTCATGAACGAAAACCTGCAAAGAGACACCGTAGAATAATGAACAGTGGCTTGGATAATATCCTTGGAAAAGGTGTGAATCCATCTTTTTTCTCCAGCTATCGGCAAATAGTATGACAGATTGGCTCCTATAGACTTGGTTGACAAGTAAATTAGACGAAGGAAAACTAGCCGGGAAAGGAGTGAGCTCCGTCATACTGTTTTGCCAAGGACACATCACTGCTGGTGTAGATGCATTAGAAATGGTGCCTCTATGGTTCCCGAATTCGAGATCATGAATGTCACTAGAGAAACTGAAAACAAAACTCATAAAATATTCCTTGTCTCTCATATTCAACGATATATATATATATTGATGGTCAAAATAGAATATATATATATATATATATATATATATATATATATATATATATATATATATATATATATATATGTACGGGTATATATATATGTATACATGTATTTATATATGTGTAGTATTTTGAATATTAAATTAGTTGTAATCTGTATATGTATATAGATGTATATCCCTTAGAATTAATATTTGTAATATATACATGTGTGGATAGTTATGGGTTAGAATTCTTTTCATATGCTTTTTTATGTATATAATCGTGTGTGTATATGTAGGTATATGTAATTATGTATGTATGTGTGTGTATGAGTATATATATGGTTGTATATGTATATAAGGGTGTGTATATGTATATGAGTATACCTATATGTATATATGTATATATAGAAAGATAGATAGTTAGATAGATAAATAGATTGATAAATATATATATATATATATATATATATATATATATATATATATGTGTGTGTGTGTGTGTGTGTGTGTGTGTGTGTGCGTGTGTGTGTGTGTATACGTGTATGGAATATTTTTAAATGGAAATACTTGGGTCATTCTAATGGTATTTTAAAATTACTCTTTTTAATATTTAATATCACTTTCTCTTTTAATGTTCTATAATAAGAATTTTATTTTGAGAGTGTATTTTTATCTTCTGAAAAGAGTTTCATTTTAAAATTGATAATTTAAATTTAAATATACCACTCTTTAACTATTAATAGTAATAAGATTAACGAAATTCCTTTAATAATGAGGCACTTCAGACGTCACCTAAAGTTAAACTTTAACTATAAAATCAAACTAAAATCTAAATAAATTTCAAATATTAAAGTATAGGTAATGATTGAGAAATGTATGTATATATAATTTTTGTATGAAGATAGATGAACATTTGTGTATATTGTTGCACGTGTGTCTATGTGTGTATATGCACATGTAAATAAACATCGTCGTCTGTCTCCTCTCTCTTTTCCATTTTTCCTTTTCTTTTCTCCCCACTCCCCTCCCATTCCTATATATCATTTCCGTTAAGTTAACCATCTAAATAGGTCAAGGTTCGGTCACTCCACCTACCCCAATATAAATCATGCTTAAGAGAGATATGAAATCAACCCCTCCCTATACTCTACCTTGTTTCTTTAACTACAACTCTCACCCCCGCTGTTAAATTACAAAAATTACACTACCCATCAATTTCTAATCCCATTTTTCATTTCATTTCATTGTTGGAATTGTTACCTGATGATCCGGAGTCCTTTAAAAAGGATTTTGGTGAAATAAATTATTGTAATGGTGCCTTAATTGGTCTGTTTTTCATTAAAAATATATATATATATATATATATATATATATATATATATATATGCAATTGAGGCCATAATCAATGAGAAGGTCGCAGCACACGTAGAAAGAACAACCTCTTCGGCAACGAGCAGTATGGGTTCATCGGTTCGAAACACTGCTGACGTCCTCTCATCACTCTCAGAATCAACGAGGTTCTTGACTACAAACACACATCGAGAACCATAGCACTAGATACCTCAAAGGTATTCGTCAATATATGGCACACATATTTATTACATAATCTCTCTAGTTAAAAAATCACAGGAAGACAGAAGGCACTTCTCAATCATAGAATCCTACTTAGCAGATATGTATCTGAAGGTAGTTATTAATGGCCAGTTCCCCCGGAGCCCTAGAGTTCAGCTCAGGCGTTCCGCAGGGGTCTCTCCTCGGACCAAACTTCTTTTTGGTCTACCTAAATGATCTACCTAAGAATATACTCAGATCATTTGTAAACAGCGATGTCGATGATACGACTATATAGGGGCGGACTTCATAAAACTCTCGATGGTCAGAGATTACCGACGGATTTCTCTCCCGATCTTGCACAAACTACCCAATGACGTCAAAACTGGATGGTTACATTCAACGTCTCGAAGAGCAAGACTAGATAAATTCCATCATAGTCGATCTGATCCTGATCTAACACAAATGAGGATGAACGGAGCTCCTTTCGAGGTAACAACGAACCTTAAAAGACTGTTGTGTCTCAAACTCACACGACCTCAAGTGGAACTCGTCTTTACGATCCATTACTAAGGATATAGGTAAAATTTTCGGCTCCGTGTAACGCTCCAGTTAAACATAACTGCTCCTGTTTTCCTTTACATTTGAGACAGATCAGGCCAAATGTAATTTGCTGTCATATTTCGGTGGGAGTTGCCAAGACCTCAAGGCTTGATAGATTTCAAAAGCGTTTTCGTGCAACTGTGGGTGATGATTTACTCTTCACCTTTCAATTGCTCTCCCATAGGTGTTATGTGACAAGGCGCTCCCTGTTCTAACGCTATTTTCAAGGGAAGTCCTCGGACGAACTATGTTCCCTGATCTCGCCAATGCAAACATTCTAAGCAAGAACACGCCATGCCAATTACAAAGCAGCAAACCGCCTTCTTTCCATCCGTATTCCATCGAGGAGAAGAAAGTTTTACTCGAGCAGATTCTTCCCGCGAACAACTGCCCTGAAGAATAGACTCCCAACAAGAAATTTCCATGATAGCAACAATCTTAACCTGTTCAAACCTAGGGTAACAGTTATCTTCATCTCTTATGCATAAAAATGGCAACCAAACGTAAATACTCGAGTGGCCCTCGTGACATAAGGGTGATCCTTACAGTAATATATATATATATATATATATATATATATATATATATATATATATATATATATATGCAACGCTTGAAAACTAAACTTAACTTTAAATTAACTTTAAGGTTATCTCCATCGTTTGAAAAATGGAACTGAATTTAATATATATATATATAATTCTAAAGGTGAACATTGAAGTCAACTCTTCGAGACGACATGCTGTTTCATGCTAGACGCAATCGTCAAGCCTAACGATTGCATCTAGCATGAAGCAGCCTATAGTCTCCCAGTGTTGACTTCAATGTTCACTTTTATATTTACATGCTCTATCTCTGATTTTGAGCACTTTATCCCGTAAATATAGCACACCTTAAGAGTGTATATATATATATATATATATATATATATATATATATATATATGTGTGTGTGTGTGTGTGTGTGTGTGTGTGTGTGTGTGTGTGTGTGAATATTTTAGGCCGGTTAACGAAATTTGAGTAATATTAAGGCAAGAAAAATAATAACATATGCAAATAAGATTGATAATATTTATTATATATTAGCCTTTAGATTACATAACACGAAGAGAAAGATTTTGAAGTCGGAATTTTCGGACACGCGTATGTCCTTTTTCAACGAGACGAGGACTAGCAAAAGAAGTGGGACTCACTCTTTCGAGAAAATTTGGTTTGTTAGAGGTTTCCCTGTGGTAATTATATTCTTCGAGTAAACCCTAATCCATATTTAATCCTATAATGTGTGATTCTATTTTGAAAATATATTTTAACTCCGATATGCCTCTTTTTGTCATCTGCTAAATGAAAACTCTAAAACAACGTATCTGATGTCATCAATGCTATGAGACTGTTGGTTGTAGTTTGCAGCGACATGGAAATTGTTGTTGCGAAAGGCACTTGATGTAGGCCGTCGTATTGAGTATGAAGCCCTTACCAGGAAATTCAGAATGTCTTTTCTTATTAGAACTATCCGAGTGACTTTTCCGAGCGGCCGTATCTTTGTAATCACTATTAGACTCATCCAACTTTTTCGGACCTAAAGATCCAGGCAAACCTACCTAGATTTCAACTATGCGGATCGTCAGGGTACGCTGGCTCTTTAGGTTCATAGTTAGATTTGCTCTATTTAGCTCATTGAGCACTTTGCTTAGTTATTTTTATTTTACTCGTATCGGACGTTTTTTTCTTTGGACTCTAAGCTTTTCGCCAAAATTACATGTTCCTAGTTCTTTCTTTTTTTATTCTTTTTTTTGTTTTCCTCAGGTATTCGTTTGTTCTTTTACAAGCCAAAACACCTAAAGTTTTTTTTTTTTCCGGACGAGTATATATATATATATATATATATATATATATATATATATATATATAATTTAAATAAGGTACATTTCGTCAGCAAAAATTATCTAAGACATGTTTTGCTAAAAAGCAGGGACAAGTTCTGTCTATCGTTTTCTTTTTTTTTATTTATAAAATCTTTTTAATATTCGAATAAATTGTTTTATAATATCGGTAAATTATTGGCAAATTTACCGACAACACAAAACTTCTCATTTGGCTACTTGAAAGATTTAATA